AAAAACCTCCTCTCCTATGTCCTTGTCTCCTCTCCTGTCTCCTCCTCTCCTATGTCCTTGTCTCCTCTCCTGTCTCCTCCTCTCCTATGTCCTTGTCTCCTCTCCTGTCTCCTCCTCTCCTATGTCCTTGTCTCCTCTCCTGTCTCCTCCTCTCCTATGTCCTTGTCTCCTCTCCTGTCTCCTCCTCTCCTATGTCCTTGTCTCCTCTCCTGTCTCCTCTTCTCCTGACTCCTCACCTGGTATCTCCTTGTCTCCTCTTCTATCTCCTCCTCTCCTATCTCCTTATCTCCTTTCTCCTTGTCTCCTCTTCTATCCCCTCGTTTCCTTGTCTTCTATCTCCTCATCTCCTATGTCCTTGTCTCCTCTCCTATCTCCTCATCTCCTATGTCCTTGTCTCCTCTCCTATCTCCTCATCTCCTCATCTCCTATGTCCTTGTCTCCTCTCCTGTCTCCTCATCTCCTGACTCCTCACCTGGTATCTCCTTGTCTCCTCTTCTATCTCCTCTCTTATCTCCTTATCTTCTATCTCCTCCTCTCCTATCTCCTTATCACCTTTCTCCTTGTCTCCTCTTCTATCTCCTCGTCTCCTTGTCTTCTATCTCCTCCTCTCCTATCTCCTTGTCTCCTCTTTCCTCATCTTGCATCTCCTCATGTCCTGACTCCTCACCTCCTATCTCCTTGTCTCCCCTGTTCCTTGTCTCCTATCTCCTTTCTCCTTGTCTCCTATCTCCTTACTCTTTTCCATCTGTGTGTGTCTCTGTGTGTGTGTGTGTGTGTGGGGGGGGGGTTGTACATGTATGTTTATGGCCGAATGTTCAGCAGTTGTTATGGAAACACAGAGCACAAAAAATAAATAAATAAAAATCCCAGAGTGATTTTTAAATTTCACATTTTCATTCCTCTCGTCTCCTCTCTCCTTCGTTTCTCTCCTTCCTCTCGTCTCCTCTCTCCTTCGTTTCTCTCCTTCCTCTCGTCTCCTCTCTCCTTCGTTTCTCTCCTTCCTCTCGTCTCCTCTCTCCTTCGTTTCTCTCCTTCCTCTCGTCTCCTCTCTCCTTCGTTTCTCTCCTTCCTCTCGTCTCCTCTCTCCTTCGTTTCTCTCCTTCCTCTCGTCTCCTCTCTCCTTTGTTTCTCTCCTTCCTCTCGTCTCCTCTCTCCTTCGTTTCTCTCCTTCTTCATCTCCTTCTTGCTTCCTTCTTTGTCTCCTTGTCTCCTGGTCTTTAGTCCTGATTAAGACCTCATTTAGGCCCAATTTAGCTCCTTGTCTCCTTTCCTCGCTCTTCTCTTAAGCTCCCTTGTCTCCTTTCCTCGCTCTTCTCTTAAGCTCCCTTGTCTCCTTTCCTCGCTCTTCTCTTAAGCTCCCTTGTCTCCTTTCCTCGCTCTTCTCTTAAGCTCCCTTGTCTCCTTTCCTCACTCTTCTCTTAAGCTCCCTTGTCTCCTTTCCTCACTCTTCTCTTAAGCTCCCTTGTCTCCTTTCCTCACTTGCCCCCTAAGCTTCCTTTGCGTCCTCTGTCGTTTCCTTCATCCTTTATCGGTGTCACTAACGAGTTAATGAGGACACTTCACAAAGGATCCTCAAATCCTCCTAATCCAGGACCAGGACTAAACCAGGACTAAACCAGGACTAAACCAGGACTAAACCAGGACTAAACCAGGACTAAACCAGGACTAAACCAGAACTAAAGCAGGTCTCAGGACAGTCTGGTCTCTGGTCTCTGGTCTTGGTCCAGGTCCGGGTCCTGGTCCAGGTCCTGGTCCAGGTCCTGGTCTTGGTCTCAGCTGTGTGTAATTGTTATAATCAGGACATAATGACACAGAAGAGTTTCTCTCCTCCTCTTTACTCTCTCTCTCTCTCTCTCTCTCTCCTTTTTCACTTTTCTGCTTTTTCTCTCTATTCCCCCCAGTCCCTCTCTCCTTTTCTCCTCCTGCGCTCTCTCCATACCTTTATCTTCTCTTCTCTTTACCTCTGTCTGCTCTTTCTCCTCTCTTCCTCTCCTCTCTTTCTCTATCCCTCTTTCTCTCCCTCTCCACTCTCTCCGTCTCCTCCCTTCCTTCTTTCTCTCTCTCCCCCTCTCTCCTGTCTTCCTTCTCTGTTCTTGCCTTCTCTCTTTCTGTCTTTCCCACCTTCTCTCTCTCCTTCCCTCCCTCTCCTCCACTCCTCTCTTCTCTCTTGTTCTCCCTCTCCTCCCTCCTTCTCTCCCTCCTTCTCTCTCTCTCTCTCCCTCCCTCCATCTCTCTCTCTTTCTCTCTCTCCTTCTATCTCTCTCTCTCTTCATCTCCTTCTCTCTCTCTCCTCCCTCCTTCTCTCTCTCTCTTTCAGTCTATACTATATTCTTATGTAACCCGTTGGGGGGGTTCACTGCAGCAGTTTCTGAATCTGACGCTGCAGCAGAAACAAACAGACCGAGCCCAGACCCGGATCCAAACCAGGTCTGGTCATGATCCCGGTCTGGACTAGGTCCAAGTCATGATCCGGGTTTAGGTTCCAGGCGATTTAAAAAAAAAAAAAGGCTTCACATGGTTCTGAAGCCAAAAAAAAAAAAAGTACTAAACCAAGACTAAACCAAGACTGAACCAGGACTAAACTTCTGGGACTTGAACCCGAGACCTCGTTGTTGGGAGCAGAAACTGTGACGCCAAAACCTTTGTGTTCTGAGGTTGTGAAAAAATCTGTTTGTGCTCAAAGCCAAGTGGACCATGCAGGTGTCCAGCTCTAACCTGAGTCCAGAGGAGACCATGCAGGTGTCCAGCTCTAACCTGAGTCCAGAAGAGACCATGCAGGTGTCCAGCTCTAACCTGAGTCCAGAGGAGACCATGCAGGCGTCCAGCTCTGATCCTTTCAGCTGTTCAGGTTTGATACGTGGACGTGGAGGAGGAAACGAAACACTGCAACAACAACGTGGATTATACAACAGAAAACAGAAAACCAGGACTAAACCAGGACTAAACCAGGACTAAACCAGGACTAAACCAGGACTAAACCAGGACTAAACCAGGACTAAACCAGGACTAAAACCAGGTCTAAACCAGGACTAAACCAGGACTAAACCAGGACTAAACCAGGTCTAAACCAGGACTAAACCAGGACTAAACCAGGACTAAACCAGGACTAAACCAGGACTAAACCAGACTAAACCAGGACTAAACCAGGACTAAACCAGGTCTAAACCAGGACTAAACCAGGACTAAACCAGGACTAAACCAGGACTAAACCAGGACTAAACCAGGACTAAACCAGGACTAAACCAGGACTAAACCAGGACTAAACCAGGACTAAACCAGGACTAAACCAGGTCTAAACCAGGACTAAACCAGGTCTAAACCAGACTAAACCAGACTAAACCAGGACTAAACAGGACTAAACCAGGACTAAACCAGTCTAAACCAGGACTAAACCAGGACTAAAACCAGGAAACCAGGACTAAACCAGGACTAAACCAGGTCTAAACCAGGACTAAACCAGGACAGGACTAAACCAGGACTAAACCAGACTAAACCAGGACCAGGTCTAAACCAGGACTAAACCAGGACTAAACCAGGACTAAACCAGGAACTAAACCAGGACTAAACCAGGACTAAACCAGGACTAAACCAGGACTAAACCAGGACTAAACCAGGTCTAAACCAGGCTAAACCAGGACTAAACCAACTAAACCAGGACTAAACCAGGACTAAACCAGGACTAAACCAGGACTAAACCAGGTCTAAACCAGGACTCTAACCAGAAACCAGACTAAACCAGACTAAACCAGGACTAAACCAGGTCTAAAACCAGGACTAAACCAGGACTAAACCAGGTCTAAACCAGGACTAAACCAGGTCTAAACCAGGACTAAACCAGGACTAAACCAGGACTAAACCAGGACTAAACCAGGTCTAAACCAGGACTAAACCAGGACTAAACCAGGACTAAACCAGGACTGAATCAGAGTCTAGAGTCTGATTTTCTGTGACACGTTTGACTTCAGACGTGTGGATTTTCTGAGGCTGTAAACGCCTCGTGGGAAATCAGCAGGTGAAACTCAGAATACTGACTGATAACACAAGAACCAGACCTGGTTTAGTCCTGGTTTAGTCCTGGTTTAGTCCTGGTTTAGTTCTTGACTTTGAAGCAGCTTTTCACACTTTTTAAACTTCTTCAGAACCACGGACAGCTCCTTTGGGATTCATGTTTAACCACAAAATCCTCCTCAAAGTTTGACCAGAAACCAGGACTAAACCAGGACTAAACCAGGACTAAACCAGGTCTAAACCAGGACTAAACCAGAACTAAACCAGGACTAAACCAGGACTAAACCAGGACTAAACCAGAACTAAACCAGGACTAAACTAGGTCTAAACCAGGACTAAACCAGGACTAAACCAGGATCTAAATTAGGACAGAAGAGCACAGGAAAAGAAACTAAATCCGGACTAAACGTCAGGACTCCAGGTCTAAATAAGGATCTTAATCCGGTCTACACGAGGACTCGGTGTTTGTTGGGGTCTTTTTATCTCTGCGCTCTAATTGCAGCTGGTTGCTAGGCAACAGGGGAGTTCCTGAAGCGATGCTAAAAACAGAACTAAACCAGGACTTAACCAGGTCTAAATCCGGACTAAGGATTTATTTAAATAATTCCAAACACTTTTACTGAACAAAAAGGATGTTAAAAGTCTGAAAATAAACATTTAAACATTTAAACATGAATAATTATTCTTCACGTGTCACTGCGGCAGGTGCAGCTCGCTCCTGCCTCCCTGTGGACGACTGGAGACATTACAGCTTTAGTTTTTTTTCCAGGACATGTCCAACCCTCTGACCTCTGACCCCCGACCCTCTGACCTTTAACCCTCTGACTTTTGACCCTCGTCTCTTAGAACTCAGAACAGAACTTGAGTTGAGACTAAATCTCTTCACAGTTTAAAGTTGAGACGACCTGAATCATCACGACTCGACTCGACCAGAGACGAGCGAGTCCTGAATCGTTTGGGAAAAAAACACTGAGATCAGTTTTGTGGTTTATGTTTTAATAAGAGTTTCTTTCACAAAAACAGAGAAAATCGTGTCATGCAAACATTTGTTTCAATATTATTTTTTATTTCACACGAGGCTTTAGTGAAACTGCTCTGTACAGCTGAAAGGTTCTTGATCCTAAACACACATTTACACATGAACTTTGACCTGAGCTGGATGGTTTACTGAACAGCTGAAAGTTCTCTAGGTGGTTATATCAGACTGAACAGCTGAAAGGTGTTGAGGTGGTGTGGTTGTGTCAGACTGAACAGCTGAAAGTTCCCTCTGCGCAGTGTTTGCGCTGGTGCGAGTCCAGGTTCTGTTTGCGTGTGAAGTCGAGGCCGCAGACGCCGCACACAAACTGCTTCACTCCGGAGTGCGTGGTCATGTGACTCTGGAGGCTGCTGGTCCGGCCGAAACGAGCGCCGCACACCGAACAGCTGAAAGGTCTGTCCGCGCTGTGCGTCTTCATGTGCACTTTGAGGTACGCCTCCACCGTGAAGCTCCGCCCGCACACCGAACAGCTGTAAGGTCTCTCTTTGCTGTGCGTCTGGACGTGGAAGTTGAAGGCGCTTTTGTGAGAAAAACCTTTGCCGCAGAAGGGACAGCTGTAAGGTCTCTCGCCCGTGTGGCTCCTCAGGTGAACGATGAGGTACGACTTTGTGTTGAAGCGCTTGTTACAGACTGAGCAGCTGAAAGGTTTTTCCCCGGAGTGAACGGTGCTGTGTCGTTCTAAATTACTTTTACTGAGGAACGTTTTAAAACACAGAGGACACTGGTGCTTTTTTAGCGGAGCCCGGGGCGTCTCTGTGGGTTTCTCTGTGGGCGTGTCCGTGGGCGTGTCCGTGGGCGTGTCCGCGGGCGTGTCTCGGGTCCACTCAGAGACACTTGGTTCTGGAGCAGGACTGAAATCCCCAAATGGACCTGAGTTTGGCGCGTACTCGGCTCTGAAGTCTCCGTAATCTCCTGCGTAAGCCTCTGAACAGCTGAAAGGAGCGCTCCAGTCCTCGTCCTCGCCCGTTTGTCCCCATGTCTCGGCGCTGACGTCCTGCCCCTGCATCTACGGACGAGACAATAAACAATAACAAGGTTTATCGTTAAGAAAAGGTACAAAATAATCGTTCATGGGACATTTTATAGAATCGTGAGAATCTCCAACAAAGAAAATCATCATAAAGTCCAGTTCTGATGTTCAAAAACAGACCTGGAGTTGTGAAGTTTGTTTCATTCACACATGTTTGAGTGACTCTTTCAGCGCTTTCACCTTGTGATGTCATGTAGTGGAAGTTTAAATTGAGCAGATTGTCAATTCCAGAGCTGAAATGATTCTAGTGAAGATGTGTGGAGTTTAAAAACACAGTGGAGCACTTCCTGTATCCCCACATGACATCACAAGGTGGAACAGAGTGTTTTCAGTTTGAGAGAAGAGCTCGGTGCGTTCGTTTATCCGTTCGTCTCCCACTCGGATCTGAGATATGACGTCACTTCGATTCTGTTTCGTTTGTCCGACTCAGAGAAAAACGTGGAGGCCAAACGGAAAACTGTTTTTACTTTTGCATCGTCCGAGAACTAAGAGCTTCAAAATAAATCTGTGCTTCAAATACACAATCCAATTTAATCCAGATTTATTTGTCTCCAAAGTTCTGCACAGAGTCGAACAAAATCAATGAACACATTAAATAAACAAGTCAATAAAAAACTTCAAAAATACTAAAAATAGCAAATAAAATCAATAAAAGAGTCAGAGCAGCGCACGATTCTCACGGTGTGGTAAAAAAAGCAGATGAGTAAAACACAAACTCGAGGGAGAATTCCAGGAAGAGCCCAGAAGGTTCAGGAGGTTCAGAAGGTCCAGAAGGTTCAGAAGGTCCAGGAGGTCCAGAAGGTCCAGAAGGTCCAGAAGGTCCAGAAGGTTCAGGAGGTTCAGAAGGTCCAGAAGGTCCAGAAGGTCCAGAAGGTCCAGAAGGTCCAGAAGGTTCAGAAGGTCCAGAAGGTTCAGAAGGTCCAGAAGGTCCAGAAGGTCCAGAAGGTCCAGAAGGTCCAGAAGGTTCAGAAGGTCCAGAAGGTTCAGAAGGTCCAGAAGGTTCAGGAGGTTCAGAAGGTCCAGAAGGTCCAGAAGGTTCAGAAGGTTCAGAAGGTCCAGAAGGTTCAGGAGGTTCAGAAGGTTCAGGAGGTTCATGTTTCAGTTCGTTCGTGACGTGAAGTGTTGGTGTCGCGTCAGAGTCGATCAGTTTTGCAGATTAACGAGCAGGAAATGGGTTAAAAAGATGAGCGACGTTCCTCTGTTGCTCTTCTGCTCAACGTTTTTGTCGATATAAATTTGCTCTTAAAGGTGAAGATAAAGTGTCGTGTTTCTGGAGACTCTGTTGGGTTTTTTTCCTTCTTCATCCGTGACATTTTAGATCCTAAATTCAGAGTAAACGCTCGTCGTTTCTCTCTCCTTTTGTTTTTGTTGAGTGTGTTGTGTGTGTGTTTGTTTGTGTGTGTGTGTGTGTGTGTGTGTGGTGTGTGTTTGTTTGTTTGTTTGTGTGTTTGTTTGTGTGTGTGTGTGTGTGTGTGTCTGTGTGTGTAAGTCGTTGTCTTTGTGTCTGTGCGCTGATTTGTACGGAAGCTGAGGGTCACAACGAACGCAAACGCCACAACAAAAACAAATGCGACACACATTAAAAAGCCACAACAAACCACAAAAAGGGTTTAAAGAAGAAGAAGAACGACAATGTGAAAAGTAAAGGAACAGAGAAGTTGGAAACGTAAAAGTAAAAGTAAATTATTGTTTTATCATTATTCGTTTCACGTTGTAGTTCTTCTTCTTCACTTGCCGCTTGATCGATCCATCAGAAAATAGAGTCCCACAGTCACTTCTGTTGCGGCTTTTTAATGTGTTGTGGCTTTTTAATGTGTTGCGGCTTTTTAATGTGTTGTGGCTTTTTAATGTGTTGTGGCTTTTTAATGTGTTGCGGCGTTTGTATTTGTTGTGACCCTCTCGACTTCGTAGATTTGTTCTTCTGGACACTTTCATTTCCTTCATGATAAGTTCATGAACTAACGTCTGTGGGTTTTTTCTGTGTCTTGTCTGGTTCTCGTCGGTTTGTGGTACGAGTTGAGCTGATGACGACAAACATTTTCCTGTGGTTTGTGAATGAGAAGGTGGAGGTTTGAGCTGCTCGTCCTCGTGCTTCAGAGCTTTGGTCTGGACACTGAACACACCTGGACGCCTCCCGCTGCCTGTTCCTGGAAACGTCCTGATGTTTCTGTGGTTTGTGGCCGAACAGAAAAGACTTCAGATAAATGTAACGTTTCCCCGTCAGCGGCGAACACAGAGGACGTCCTCTTCCAGAGTTTCTCTGGATTCGATGGAGTCGCAGGAGCAGGAGACGTTTGCCTCGTCAGGGTCCAGAGGAAAATCATCAGAGGAGGAAACAACAGGAAGTGAAAGTGTGACTCTTGTGTCCTGAGACGTCACTGATGAAGACGCTTCATTGATCTTCGTCTCTGCAGGATCAGGCAGGTGCAGGACGGCAGGAGCCGGCAGGGCTCCACTTTTTACACGAACTGTCAGGAGCAGAAGGACCATCGTCCGCTGGGGGACGGACCTTCCTCTTCATTATTACACCAAAGCGCCGCAGCGACGCCGACGCCAGAAAAACATCCACATCAGTCGTGAGGAGATCGATGAACAGAGTCTGACAGGATCAAGAGAGAACATCAGTCTGTAGAACATCTGTAGAACATCAGGACGGACATGGAGGAGGTGATTATCACGGCTCCACGCTGAGATGAACCTCGAGGAACCGACACACGAGGAACGAGTCGTTTTGATCATCGTCTAATAAACGTTTATGATCCTTTTACCTTTGAAACAGTTTGTGTCAGGTTTTTTTCTCCGCTTAAAGTCGAAACTAAAACTAAAACCCACAGAAACAGAAACCTCCTGACAGTACTGCAGTAGAAGTACTGACAGTACTGCAGTAGAAGTACTGACAGTACTGCAGTAGAAGTACTGACAGTACTGCAGTAGTAGAAGTACTCACAGTACTGCAGTAGAAGTACTCACAGTACTGCAGTAGTAAAAGTACTCACAGTACTGCAGTAGAAGTACTGACAGTACTGCAGTAGAAGTACTGACAGTACTGCAGTAGAAGTACTGACAGTACTGCAGTAGTAAAAGTACTCACAGTACTGCAGTAGAAGTACTGACAGTACTGCAGTAGAAGTACTGACAGTACTGCAGTAGAAGTACTGACAGTACTGCAGTAGTAGAAGTACTGACAGTACTGCAGTAGAAGTACTGACAGTACTGCAGTAGTAGAAGTACTCACAGTACTGCAGTAGAAGTACTCACAGTACTGCAGTAGTAAAAGTACTCACAGTACTGCAGTAGAAGTACTGACAGTACTGCAGTAGTAAAAGTACTCACAGTACTGCAGTAGAAGTACTGACAGTACTGCAGTAGTAAAAGTACTCACAGTACTGCAGTAGAAGTACATGTTCATGTGTTTGTAAATGCTGTAAGTGTTAAAGTTCATTTAAAGTTTCTTGGAGCGTCACAAACCTGTGAGGTTTTTCTTGGAACTGGAAACGTTCAAACGTGACAAAACTTGGACATTTAAATAAAATTTGACAAAATAATTTATATTTCACAGAAGTTTGTTTCTTTTCTCCATCGTCAGAGTCTGAGTCAAACAAACAGAGGAAAATGATCAGGTTCAGTGTTTCTGGTTTTGTCAGTTTTCAACTATTTACAACTTTAAATATTTTTAAATATCGTCTCTGAGTTTGTGACTCGAGTTTTTAAACTGAACAAAGACGTGAAAATCTGAACCAAACCTGAACATGAACCTAAAAACCTAAATAAATAAACATTTCAAATGAAAAAGAAACATTAAATAATTTCACTGCGTCAGAGTCTCGGCGTTTGTGAGCAGCTCCAGACGCCTCAGACTCTCCAAGGAAAACCAACAGGTCATCGTCCCCCAGGCGCTTCCGCGACCTCTGGGGGGGGGTCAGGGGGCGCGGCAGGGGCGCGGCAGGGTGCGCGGCAGGGGGCGTGGCAGGGGGCGCGGCGGCAGGGGCGCGGCAGGGGGCGTGGCAGGGGGCGCGGCAGGGGGCGCGGCAGGGGGCGCGGCAGGGGGCGTGTTGGTCTCTGTGTGAGGAGGACTGCAGGAGGACAGAGGAGCTCTGGGTGCAGCTGCAGCTGGACACGGGGCGTTGGTCGGATAAACAGGTGAGGAAGCTCAGGTGGACGAGGACGAGGCAGGTGAGGCAGGTGAGACAGGTGAGATGTCAGGTGAGACAGGTGAGATGTCAGGTGAGACAGGTGAGATGTCAGGTGCAGACACAGAGACCTGCAGGGCGTCTGGTCTGAGCAGGTCCAGGTTCACGTCCGTCTCCTCGGGGAGGTGGAGGTCTGTGTCCTGCTGTCGTCCCAGGAGCTCGTTCATCTCAGTAAAAAACTGAACCTTCCCGGGTCGTCTCCCTGTGGACGAGCTCTGGTCCACGACTCGTTTGTAGGCGTCCACCAGCGTGTTCCATTTACGAGCTACTTTGTGCGGGAGAAACAGCTGCTGGAAGTGCTCGCTCGTCCTCACGCAGATCTACTCCCACAGAAGCTTCGTGGATTTTCTGAGCAGCCTGAGGCGCAGGTTCAGATCCTGCAGGGACCGGGGACGACCTTTACCCTCCGACTCCAACTGGACACGGATCAGGTCGATAAGGAACAAGGTGTGATGCCTCAAGAACGTCACCGTGTCAAACGAAGAGACGTATGAAGGAGGAGCAGCGTCTGGATCAGAAAGAAAAGAAAAGACAGAAGTTAGAGCAGAACAGGAATCACTATTGTTATGTAATAATATAATATAATATAATATAATATAATGGAATATATAATATTATATTATATATTCCATGTTTACAGATGTTTGTCTCTGTCTCAGTGTCTGTGTCTCTCAGGTCTGTGACTCTGAAGGACACAGACACAGACACAGACACAGAGACAGAAAACTCTTTTTGTTGTTACAGTTTTGTGAATGAACCTGCAGTTTTTTCAGTCGTGTCTTTGTCAGAAAATCCTGTGAATCATGATTCCTGTGGGACACCATCCTGTACTGTAGTAAAGTACTGCAGTAATACAGACGCAGTAAAGTACTGCAGTAATACAGACGCAGTAAAGTACTGCAGTAATACAGACGCAGTAAAGTACTGCAGTAATACAGACGCAGTAATACAGACGCAGTAAAATACTGCAGTAATACAGACGCAGTAAAGTACTGCAGTAATACAGACGCAGTAAAGTACTGCAGTAATACAGACGCAGTAAAGTACTGCAGTAATACAGACGCAGTAAAGTACTGCAGTAATACAGACGCAGTAAAGTACTGTGCAGTAATACAGACGCAGTAAAGTACTGCAGTAATACAGACGCAGTAAAGTACTGCAGTAATACAGACGCAGTAAAGTACTGCAGTAATACAGACGCAGTAAAGTACTGCAGTAATACAGACGCAGTAAAGTACTGCAGTAATACAGACGCAGTAAAATACTGCAGTAATACAGACGCAGTAAAGTACTGCAGTAATACAGACGCAGTAAAGTACTGCAGTAATACAGACGCAGTAAAGTACTGCAGTAATACAGACGCAGTAAAGTACTGCAGTAATACAAGTAACTGAAAGTGTCATTTAAAGCAAAACTCCAAACACATTAAAACTCTTCACACTCACATGTGACTCTGGGCGCCGTCGTCTCAGAATCTTCGCTCGCGCTGCTCTCAGTTGTTCCAAGTTCTAAGTTCTTCCATCCGAGGAAAAGCTTCGTGTCAGTGTGCGACACAAGGCAACGTCCTCTGATCTCCGAGTCGGACGGATAAACGAACACACCGTAAATCTGCAGGGTTTGTGTGTTAAACACGTGTGAGTGAAACAGCTGCAGGTGTTTGTGACGAGAAAACCACATTAGAACAGAGACAGGAACATGGATCCTTTAAATACAGAACTCAGTCATGAGATGATTCAAGTCACAAACTTTAATACTGATCATGATATGATCGATGATCACAGTTATTTTGTCCATGATCATCTTGATAACACATTTCAGTATTGTCCCTTCACCTGAGTCGGCTCCGTGGGCTCCTCCTCGCGCTTCACACACACACTGAGCTGCAGGTGGCGCTCTTCCTCCCGCGACTCCTCTTTCACCCGAGGACTTTCTGCGTCCGAGCTCACGAGCCTCGTCTGCTCCTCCTGAGGCTCCTCTTTCACCCGAGGAGTTTCTGTGTGCGAACTCACGAACGCCGCCTGGACACCTGCAGGAGACACAGAGGAGACACAGAGGAGACACGTGTGAATGACCACGCAGCTGTTCAAGAGGAGACACTACAGGGACTCTAACCACATCAGGACTAGACCAGGATTAAACAAGATCTAAACCAGGACTAAAGATGAACTAAACAAGAACTAGACTTGCAACCGAACCGGGGTTTGCAGCCTTTTCCGACATCCCTTCATTACAACATCCTTTTATTTACTATTTAATATTTACATTCAGACATGCCGGTTTTCTCTAACTTTCTGGTATTGCTATTCTGACATGTCATGCGTAGTTTTTGGGAGTTGTGATAGTCCACCCCGGCACGTCTCTCACTGTCCACGGAGATAAATACAGCAGATCGATCGATAGACAGGTCGTGGTAGAGCACGGAGACCCGACCGAAGTCTGACGGTCGAACACGGACAAATATTTAGAACTTAGGATCAGGCTCGGGTCAGACTCTGCACTTCTAGTTTCTCTCCAAGTCCAAACTATGTTGTTATTATTTTTTGTGAAATGTGGAACAAAATTTGAGATCCAGGATTTTTAAAGCAGAAAAGATTGGAGATAAAGTGTTGGGGAAGTGGAGTCGCTGTGTAGAATCTGCAGCTTCAGCTTCAGCTTCAGCTTCAGCTTCAGCTTCAGCTCGATCCGTGCGCTGTGTGAATGCAAACAGACACACGTGAGGAACTACTCTCACCTTTTCACTTATAAACAATGCAAAAAACTGGACTCGCCGCGCCGTTTTGTGGACTGGACTCCTTATTTGCGAAGGACGATTTCTATGGATAATGTGGACGAGACGCTGCACTTTAAATTTAACACTTTTCGAGACGTGAGGAATAAAATCTTCTCACTGAGCTGGCACAATGAACTTGACTGGTTATTTATTTAGTCTCTGCAGACACATGACCAAAAGAATGAAGCACAAAGGCCCGTACAGACTCCGTTTCAGATGAGATATTTTCCCAAAAGCCTATGTTCTTTTATAAAATACATTTTCCCACTGTCTGATCTCCTCTTTGGCTTAAATATTCTCTGTTCACGAGCTTTACATCGGCCCAAGCATCTTCTGATATCTGGGAGTGCAAAGTATAATAGGCGATCACATTCATTAATATTCATGTTCATGTCGGAAAAGCAAAATGATTGAAAAATAGTACATTTCCGCTGCTCCGACAATGAAAAAAAAAGTTGAAGTAGTGGGACGCTTGAAAAATAATGTTTTTGCCGTTTCTCCGACAGTTAGAACCCAATGAATGTCTAAATAGCGGCATGTCGGAACAGCAGCGTGTAATGGGTCAAAAAGTCGATTTTTTAACCCCGTTTAACACTAAAGGGAAAACAGGAGGATGGGAGGGCATCTGACACAGGGACACGGGAGGATGGGAGGGCATCAGGGTTGGGAGAAGAGGATGGAAGGAAGGACCGACCCGCTTGGTGAAGGCTCCCCGGGGCTCCGTGCCTCTTCCCCGGGCCGTCCGCGGCGCAGTCCCGGCGCGGGGGCTGCGGCGCGCGGGGCTCTTGTATTTGGCGCAGTTGTTGTTCATATTCCGCTATGGTTTTCTCAAAGAGCGCAAAGATGTCCTCCGCAGCCGCAGAGAGGCGCGCAGACACCAGAGCCCGGAGATTCCCGCACACGGACATTTTACACACGAGTTTAGTCCGAACCAGCTCCGGACAACGGAGCTAATGTGGCTAACGGAGCTAACGAGGCTAACGGAGCTAACGGAGCTAACGAGGCTAACGAAGCTAACGAGGCTAACGGAGCTTTTTTTTTTTTTTTTTTCAGATTTTTTTTTTAATGGCAGACATATAACAACAAGACAAAACAACCAATGTATATACAGTATAAGGTGCAGATTGGATTGTTGTTTGATTTGTTGTATGTCATTGTTGCATCAATGCAAAGTCCAGTTCACAGTTAAGGCAGGAGTGAGGTATGGAAAATATACATATACACTCATACACATAAACTCACAAACACACATAAATATACATATACACTCATACACATAAACTCACATAAACATACATAAAACTCACATAAACTCACATAAACACACATAAACTCACATAAACATACATACTCACATAAACTCACATAAACACACATAAACTCACATAAATATACATAAACTCACATAAACATACATAAACTCACATAAACTCACATAAACATACATAAACTCACATAAACATACATAAACTCACATAAACACACATAAACTCACATAAATATACATAAACTCACATAAACATACATAAACTCACATAAACACACATAAACACACATAAACATACATAAACATACATAAACTCACATAAACACACATAAACTCACATAAACATACATAAATATACATAAACACATAAACATACTGCATTATGAGGGTGGTTTGCAAATGAACATACAGGGGAGCAGAAGGAATGAAACCAAAACATGGATCTATTAAAATAACCTAAACTAAACAACAGAATAACAAAATAAAACAGAATATCATAAATTAAATAAAGCTATACAATATTTTTTATAGACATTGTAAGTTTTAATTGCTTTTTTATTTTGGACCTGTTGTATTGTCTAAAAGTATTGTTGGATTTCGTTATTATATTGATGAGTATTTGGTTTATTTTGAGACCATTTGGTTTTGTGGATGTGATATTTTGCCAGCATCATGAGTCTGAATGAGGAGTTCAAGATCTTTGGGAATAACAGCTAACGGAGCTAACGGAGCTAACGGAGCTAACGGAGCTAACGGAGCTAACGGAGCTAACGGAGCTAACGGAGCTAACGGAGCTAACGGAGCTAACGAGGCTAACGAGGCTAACGGGGCTAACGGGGCTAACGAGGCTAACGGGCTAACGGGGCTAACGGGGCTAACGAGGCTAACGGGGCTAACACATTTGTTTCTTTTCCTTTTCTTTTCTTTCTTCTTTATCGTCATGTTTTCTGAAAAGTAATTTTAATAATTACATAATATAAAACACATAACATTAGGACAGAACTATAATAAACTCAACATGAACATGATAAACAGAACAGGCCGAGTTTAGCTCCGCGGACACAAAGGAGCGGGTTGCCAGGTTAAACAATAAACAAAGAAAAACAAGCGATCAAGACTCACAAAAATAAAGTCTGTGAAGTGCAGTTGTAAAATGTGAACGAGAGAACGCCTTTATCTTCTTCTAGTGGCTTACTAATAACAAAAAAATATAAATAAATAAAATAATAATAATACTAATTATAACATCAGTGATCAAATAACATCTAAAGAGACAAATTGTTCTCCGTCACGAACACTCCTGCTCCCCCACTGCACCAGACTATAGAGGGACAGATAATACTCCCTACAACTGTACAACAACTCATCCTTATGTAACAGAAATACTCTCCACAACTGTAGGTCTATAAGTTAAAACAAAACAATAACAGAATGGACATACATGATCCATGTAAACTTAAACTGAGGCAGATAATTAAACACACGAGGAAATCAATATGAGAAACTGGGGAAGTGGTTAAAAATAAAATCCTTATTCTTCTGTAAAACTGAGGGTTTTGATTTATTGTTAGAAATACAGTTTTGTGTTTGAAAATAATTCTTAATGTTGATTTTAAAAAGGGCTTTGGAATTGAACTGAAGAATTTCGATTTATGGGTAAGAAATTTTCCCAACAGAACGCACGGGTTTATTAAATATTCAGTTTTATATTGTTTGTGATGGAAATAGGTTATTATGTTTGAGAAGTCGAAATTAATTCTGATAGATGTTTTTTGCAGGATAAATAAAAATAATAAAATACAATAAAATAATTATAATAATAAAAAAAAATAATAAAATGCAATATGTTTCAGTTTCCTTGTACAAAAGAAAATTACAAATAGAAAAAAATTGTAATAATAAAATAAAACTAATAATAAAATAAAATAAATAAAACTAATAAAGTGCAATATGTTTCAGTTTCCTTGTACAAAAGGAACTTACAAATAAAAAAAATTATAAAATAATAAAAATAATAATTAAATAAAATAATAAAAATAATAAAGTGCAGTATGTTTCCATTTCCTTGTACAAAAGGAAATTACAAATAAAAATAATAAAATATAATAAAATAAATATAAAACTAATAAAATGCAATATGTTTCAGTTTCCTTGTACAAAAGAAAATTACAAATAAAAAATAAAAATATATATATAAAAATAATAAAGTGCAATATGTTTCCATTTCCTTGTACAAAAGGAAATTACAAATAAAATAAAAAAATAAACAAATAAAATATAATTTTAAAAAATACAAGTAAATTGGTAAGGTAAAAAGCAGCGGACTTGGCAACCGTTCGGGGCGGACGTGACGCGGCTGGAGTCCGGGTCAAAGTGTCTCTAACGCGGCTTGTACTTCCTTTTCCTTTAGCGGTGTCCGCGGAGCAGCAGCAGTGAGTGGCGTTTTCTTCCCACAAATCTGCGTCCATCGCTCATAAACTGCACTTTTAAACACGTCCATCACGTCAGATCACGTCCTCACCGTTTAATCATCAGGATGGGCCTGAAATTTAACTTTATTTATGAACGATGAGGATAAAAATGAGCATAATTCGGAGCCGTGTAGCGTTAGCGTTTGTGATTCAACATGGCTGCGCACGAGCGACGTGTTTGCCTTTAAAACAAGAATATACAAGGGTTTAATTTGTTTGACTGTAACGTTAACGTGTATAAATTTACCTTAACACAATTAGAAAACTATTAGTAGTACGTAATTGTAGTTTTTAAGGCTTAAACGTGTGTATGTGCGTGTGTTGATGCTGACGCCGCGCTCTTCCGGCGTCAGTCTAAACTGACACTTTCTCTTCATTTGTCACGTTATTTCACTTTTGCGTTTGTTTCGATCTTAAATAGTTTGTCTTTTTGCAGAAATGGGCAAGTTTATGAAGCCTGGGAAGGTGGTGATGGTCCTGGCCGGACGCTACGCCGGACGTAAAGCTGTGATCGTCAAGGTAAAAGATCTGGAAAAGGATTTATTCTGGATTAAACACCGACAACCCCTGAGAATCTAGAATACTGAGACTTTGCCTCTGATTTTAACACATTCTGGGGCAGTGTGTTACTAACTGTGGACACTGCTCTGTCTGAAACTCTGCTGAACTTTAATCTGAGTTTTGTTTTAACACAATTTGACCATAAACTGATTAGTCTGAACTCCAGCAGCTGATCTGATCTGTGCTGATAAATAACATGAGTAGAGTGACCAGACGTCCCTGTTTCCTCGGGACAGTCCCAGTTTTGAGTCTGTGTCTCTGTCCCAGCAGATTTATACAAAACCACTGATTTGTCCCAGTTTTTATAAGAAATGTTCCAGGTGTGTCTGTTTTTGACCAGTTTAATACCTGCCAACAGTAAAAAGAGATACACATGGTAATTTAAGTAAAATATTAAAACATCTGGTTTAAAACAACCAAAACACAAAGAAAATGTGACTTTACTGGCTCACATTTTAGTTATGAATTGTCTCTGCAGAACAGTTTTCCTTAATTACACTCGTTTCACAATTTAATTGTTACAACCTTCAAAAAAGCAGGAATGTTTTTTATTTTGAAATTCTGGTCACATTAAACATTAGTCACAAACTAACAAGCTCACTCTTTGTTGAAAATCAAACACTTAAACAGGATCATGAATGCTCTTGTTATTGCATTTTCATTTATTTGTAAAGGGACGGCACATATTATGAACATTTTAAATGTAAATATGTGAAGATTTTAGCGGCTCATTTCCATCTTCAGTCCCTCGGCATCAGGTTGATGTGAAATCATCCAAACCACCAGAGAAAAGTGCAGCAACAATCACACAAAAGTACACAACACCAACACACTCGCTGTACACACTCGCTGTACACACAACACACTCGCTGTACACACAACACACTCACTGTACACACTCGCTGTACACACAACACACTCGCTGTACACACAACACACTCGCTGTACACGCAACACACTCGCTGTACACAACACACTCGCTGTACACGCAACACACTCGCTGTACACGCAACACACTCGCTGTACACGCAACACACTCGCTGTACACGCAACACACTCGCTGTACACGCAACACACTCGCTGTACACGCAACACACTCGCTGTACACGCAACACACTCGCTGTACACACAACACACTCGCTGTACACGCAACACACTCGCTGTACACACAACACACTCGCTGTACACACAACACACTCGCTGTACGTTTCATTTCAGATGATTAATTTGAAGTTCAAAGTTAAACTAGTTGATCACAGGCTCCTGTAAATGGGCTCTTAAAATTTTCAGCTAATCTTTGTTAATTTTCTGTCACCATGGTAACTGTTTCCACCATAGAAGTAAATGTAGATGTAAGTGTGATGTTACTGCAAAGTGTCAACAGCCGAGTTTAACCTGTTCACTCAAACTTGTGCGTGTGCAGACTCCAGAGCTGCTCTCGAGGCTCTTGGGTTTGTTCTGGGACTTTGAGGTTCTGTAGTTTGGATTTAGTCGTCTCTTATTTATCGTTTGTGTTGATCTGTCGTCCAGGTCTGACCCAGACTCAAACATCAAACCGAAAATGATTCTGCTCCAAACTGGTGTTTTTCTGACAGGAATGAACCTTCCATTAAAAACAAACACATCTGAGCTTTAGACATGAATGAATCTTGAGTCACTTTTTATTAACTGCACAGACAGATTTGTTTTTCAAGCCTTCAGTAAAAGTCTTATGATAATTAAGACTTTAAAATGTGGTTTAAATAATTTTACAGAAATTGTGTGAAGTTGTAACTCAGAATAATCCAGTGTGAGTTTAAATCGAAATCTTGAGTCTTAATGAAAACGTTTGTATTTGGTCAGAACATTGACGATGGCACGACCGACCGCCCGTACAGCCACGCCCTGGTCGCCGGCATCGACCGCTACCCCCGAAAAGTCACCACCACCATGGGCAAGAAGAAGATCGCCAAGAGGTCCAAGATCAAGGCCTTCGTCAAAGTCTTCAACTACAACCACCTCATGCCCACCAGGTGAGTCCTGACCCCGCCCCCTCGTTTCCACCAGGTGAGTCCTGACTAGGGATGGGCAGAATTAATCGATTAATCGATAATTGATCATTAAGAATTTCATGGATTCCGTTCATTTTAATGGACAAACTGAATGTATGTGTGTGTGTCGTGACCAAACAGGTGTGTACATGTGTCTCTGCATCAGAAGGAGCGACACACAAACAGTGGGTCAGTCTGTAACGAACCGAAGCACAAATGTGGATTTAACCAGGATTTGACAAACACAAATCTGGTCACACTGACCTGTATTCACCTGAGTCATGTCTTTTAATCCAACACAAGTTGAACCACATCAGCGACACAAGAGCTGGAGTTTTATCTTCACTTAGTTTATGTAAATTAGTGATGTGGTTTTAAGTTTTGTTTCTGTGAGATTTGAACAAAACTGAATTAAACACATTATAATGTCAAACAGCTGATGTGGATCTAGAGTCGTTATGTTTATATGTCGTAAAGTTGAATTTATTGATACAGATTAGTGCAGATAGTAATAATAATGATGATCATTTTAATAGAAAAACATTCATGATTAATCGATAATCGATTAAGAACATTTCATCAAATGCCCGTCCCTAGTCCTGACCCCCCGACTCCTGACCCCGCCCCCTTGTGCCCACCAGGTGAGCATCATCGGCCGTGTAACCAAAGAGCCAATCAGGAGGGAGGTTGTTAGCTGTCAGTCAAACGTGTTTCTGGGAGAGTTTCTGATCTTATGTGGAGACGTGATGTTTGAGCCGTGTGGAAGTTCACACTGGACACACTGGACA